AATACTACATTAGCACTTTAAAAAACTATAAATAGAAAACTATAATGCATCTAAAATAATAGTATGTCAACTTCACAGGTGTTGGAAAAGAAAAGATGACAATGTAAATTTACTTTTTCTTAATTAAGATCATCTAGACTGGCATTATTCATTGTGTTATGTGTAACAAAAAAAAGATTATTAAAATATGTTTTTAGAACATCATCACATTCATCATTTAGGTTTTATGAGGCTAGGTTGTTTGCTAGTAATAATCATAATAATGACCACTTTACAGAGTGAAGCATATTAACATTTGTTTCACTGTGTGTTTCCCTCAGTCTTTCAGTTTCAACAAGTTAATTTCTGTCAGACCTGATAAGAACTGAAATAAAGTTAAAATAAATGTTTTAACGTTACTTAATTATTTCACATACAAATAGGCCCAACGTTGTAAAGCTGGTTCATCATTATGGCTTTAATTTCTTAAAAGTGCTGTTTTATAATAGTCATAACCTTTCAACAAGTAACTTTGTGCATATTTAAAATATAGCCCTCTGCCTACAGTTTTATGTCATGAGGAAGATGATGGGTGAATGTAAATATATTAGCCTACCTCTTCATCTCATTTAAATATAAGGACTAAGGTTTAGGATTTTCATGATCTTATTTTCTTTTCTTTGTGTAAATACACGCTTTATGTGATAAAATGCCCTTAACATCTAAATCATAGACTCACTGTAGGCTATAACGACGTGATAGTTAGTTCTCACCGAGGTGTGTCGCTGTTTCGTCTTGTGGCGGAGGCGTTTCAACAAGTCTTCTAAGCTGAACGACACATGTTGTCGTTTGGTTGCATTTTCCGGTGTAGCTTATTGTATTTCGTCTAAAAAAACGTGGCATGAGCTTGTGGTATACCATCTGGTATTAAACGTCTAACCTGTTAAAAAAGTCTTTTCTCCTGCTGTTGGCACAGCCACAGGCTGACACAGCCTATTATAGGCTATCTGTAGCTGCATGCATTACTCCATTGTAAATAGCCAGTCGATCTTACTTATCTGTAGCTGCATGCATTACTCCATTATAAATAAAATAAATAGCCAGTCGATCTTACACACGTTCAGCATTCATTATTATAGGCTTTATCATAGTTGGCTACCCTGGATTTCCTTACAACATCAGCCACATGTCACACTAAAACAAGACTTTGATAGGCTGTTGTGTTTTTGTATGCTTTTCCTTCACTCTATCTATTTGTGAGCTTAGACTATAGTGAAATTAAATAACAATGACGGATCTGGGAAAATAAATAATACACCTAGCCCTGCCTTTTGCCTTTCGTTTTGGTGCTGCAAGATCACTACGTGTAAATCAATAAATCCCACTGTGCATTGCATGAATACGTTGCAGTAAAAATAGGTAGCCTATTTGGTGATTATTTGTCTCTATTTCTGAGCTGAAGGTTACCCATTACCCACCTTATTCACCTTTCATTAACACATCATGAGGGCTAATCAGACTGGGCTTTGTCGATGTAATTCGGATTTCTATTTGAAAATACTCTACTTTCAGGCTGTTTTATATTCCCTTTTATTCCTCCCAGATATTATAGGCTAGGGCCTATTCGACAAATGTGATAGGCCCTGAGTCGGCTCTATTCCCTCCTCTCCCTCCTTCCGCCTCCTCGCTCGTCCTCCTCCTCCCTCCCGTCACCTCTCTCGTTCTCCGTTGCCGCAGATCTTACACTCCTGACTGGCCCGTTTTATCCGGTAAGAGAGACATTTTCAACATAATATGATAGTTAGTTATCCGTTAATGCAACAAGAATTTTTTTATCTTAGATCAGAAGAAAAATGACTTGATAACAAGCGTTGCCGTGCAGCTTTGCCAAGGAGGAGAGCAGGTAGATCTCTCCCTCTCTAAATATCGAGCACAAAGTGCAAACAAAAGATGGAGCAAATTATAATACACAAAAATATGTATTTCCCAAACCCAGATGATCTACGTGGACCTAGTTATTGGTTTGAATTCAGGAAATGTAAGTAGACTTTCATATGTTGACACTGATGTGTGCAACATGCTGCACGTCAATTAGAAAATTTATTTTAAATGGGTTTTTTTTTATTTTATACCACAGTTTCTTATCTGACAGTGATCGTCTCAACAGGACAACACAGGCTATGCATGAGCTGACCAGCAAGAACCACTAACAACTTAGAAAAACCCAGATCCTTGAAGAAAATAAACTGCTTTCCTAGATATTTAGTCATACATGCTGCTAATATGAGATCAAAAAATGTAACTGCAATAGTATGGGGAGATTTTATGGGAGAAACGTCAAAATATTCAAACACTATAAAGGACAACAAGGTCTCTTTAAATAATCAGAAAAAATCCACCAATTTTAGAACAAGTTTTTGTTATCATGCAGAGAACTTTGTCAGCAAACTTGCGGTAAAGTTTGTGAGAACTCCGGAGTTTTTAGCCTAATGAGGCTCTCCGCTGCCATGTGCTCATGTGAGAAGTATTCATGTAGTAGTGGAGGAGGAGGAGGAGGAGGAGGATGAGGAGGAAGAGGAGGAAGAGGAGGAGGAGGAGGCCCCAGGCAGCGCTGTTCAGCAGGGAGATATTGTTGAGAGCCTGGGAAAGTGTAGCGGGGCTGACGCCAGACTCTGGTGTAGGGGGTGGGGGGACCTGGAGGATCCCAGACCTGATTGTGATGTAAATTTCTCCCCGGCACGTTGTTGAACTTGATGTTGACTTCTTTCTCTCCTTTTTCTCTTTTTCTGTTTTGGGAGGGGGTGAGAATGGAGGGAGTTGGAGGGGGTTAAATTTTCCCTGTCACTTGTTTGTGGGAAAATCCCTCTGAGTACGCACACACACACCCACACACACACACACACACACACACGGACACCTTTCTCAGCATAACATTTTAAATCTTTACTGCAGCTGACCTAATGCAGTGTCTCCAGTTATTAATATCACTTTTGTGTGATATGTTTGAAGATACATGCTAAATGTTATTAAAAACTTTGCCTTCCCAGAACTTTTACAGCATAGGACAGCTTCGGCATACAAAGATTTTATTTTATTGATGAAAACAATTATTGCATTGCAGGAGACAAACAGGCTAACATTCAGTTCGGCGACTCTATATTTTACGTTTTTTAATAATATTTGTCTGTGCATGCGACGCCCTGCAGGAACATTCGTAGTTGTATCTCTTTATTTATGAATACAATAACACAGGTGTGTTACAGTAGCCTAGTTTGCAGCCAATGCAATACAGGGCTGCACGTGTAGTCCAGCGTCTTGGTCGCGCATGCTCAGGAGCAATGAGCACTGTGCGTCCAATGAAAGTGAACACCGCTCTCATGCTAATATTGCAAAAATTATTATTATTATTATTATTTTAAATGTGCAGATGTCCCGCCGCTCTTCATAAGCCCAACCAACAGCAATGGTGTAAGTTCAATTACAGGATTGTAGCAGCAGAGGCCACAGCTGATTAGATCTACTTATAAACGACGAAGAGTAGAAGAGGATTCATAGAACCGGACCTGTGCTGGAGCCTGACAGGAGAGCTGCATCTCCATGATACAGAGTGCCCATGCGTAATAATCAGATATGTAACTGCTATCAGATGGATGCAGGCTCTCGTTTGGAAACCCGGACTGTAGTTCCCTGCTGTTTTATTGCTTTACACACACACACACACACAGAGAGAGAGAGAAGAGAGAAAGAGAGAGAGAGAGATTCCACCACAATTTTAAATATCCTTTCAAACTTTGGGAGATATTGCAAGTTGCGAGTCGGTCTTGCCTCTGTCTTCTTTTATCGTGCTCACTATCTCATCTCATGAGCACAGATAGTACTTATATCATAGTATCACGCTCGATAAGACTGCATATAGCCTGAATATGCTATCAGGGCCTTTTCTGCACCAAGGACACAAACTCTGAATTCCTCTGCTCCATGCCTGTACAACAGCTTTTTAGATAAATATGTATTTTTTACGAAAGTCGTTTGCAAAGATTTTTCTTCCTTTATGGAGTCTCTGCACTGATTACAGGACACACGTGAAGGGTTTGTTTAAAGCCTCTAACAAGGTTATTATAATGTAATGTAAACGTCAAGGAGAAAATGTATTTCAGCCATAATAAGGTCATATTGTAGTGTAATGAGAATGTAGGCCAGTTAATTAACCTTATTTCGCTACTGTTTCCAAATATGGATCTAGTTTGTAGTTTAGCATTTTATAACTTATAACACAGAGCTGACTGCGCATAATGGGGTAGGTATTGAAAACGACTTATAGCTGAATATTTTCAGTAGTTGTACGAGTTTTTGTTTGTTTGTTGTTGTTGCTTGTTTTCCCTTTTGTTTGTCTTCTTTAAATCGTCTTATACAGTCTAGTCTGTCCTATAACTTGAAAAACAGTTTAAGCTCTAATGGTTTATGATTTCTTACCATTAATATCAGATAAGATATTAATAATAAGAAGTTCTCTACAGATTAGGTTATCATAGGTTGGCAATCTATGTTTAAAACGCAGCAGGATGTTATGAAGGATTAAAAGGATTTTATGGAGTTTGTGTTCCCATAAATAGCCTGAACAGGATTATAAAGCAAGAACAAGCATCTGTAGGCTAAATGCGATAATAAAGGAGCCGCACAGAATGAAAAACAATGACAATAACACAAGGTTAAAGCATAAATTCTCACTCTGATCCAGGTTCATTTGTATCGATCGCAGGTTGCTTTTGGAGATGTATTACGCACTGCTGTCCGTATTATACTCCCTGACGAATGAGGATAATTGGGGGGAACCTGCTCCTGACACACACCTGCATTCAATTTTCAGATCGGCTTTAATATTTTCAGATTCCCGCCTCTCTCTCTTTCTCTCTCTCTCTTTCTCTCTCTCTTTCTCTCTCTCTCTCTCTCTCTCTCTCTCTCTCTCTCTCTCTCTCTCTGAGGCGGAGTTTAGCCCTCTGCTCACTGGGAGGACTCTGCATTTGTCAGTCGCAGCTCGCATGTGTGAGGGAGAGGGCACCGTGGTTTTCCTAAAGAAGTCAGCTGAGACACGGGACGCTTTGTCGCCTTTGTACTCTCTTAGTCTTTTCCACGGTTTTTCTCAGTGGATGCGATCAGACCAGACCCTGAAAAAAACGGAAAAATCCGAGGCGGACTTGTTGGAGGATGTTGACTGTTGTGGAGTGGAGTTAGCCTGGTGTCAAGTGAGTGGGATGCTGCCGTTATGTGACTGGTATAGTTGGCGTTGAAATAGTCTTAATCCTAATTAAGAGGGCTGCTGTGTAGCCTGGTCTATGACCCGCTGTTGTACATTCGTTACACTGATTCTTGTAGGTTGTGTGATTTTCAGAAAAGTAAACTAAAGCTGTGACATTAAACCAACCACACAACTGAAGGCTGTTTAATGGCAACTTTTAGGCCTGATGCTGTAGCATAATGGCTCAATTCCAGCACAGTATTGATTAATAACAACCCTGCTCCCTAACAATTACAATTATATAACTTACTAATAAATGGTTTTGATATGATTGCAAAAGCACGAGGTGTCCGGCACTTGCGACTACGTGCACTTGTGGTAGTCTACTTTGCAAAAAGAAATGACAAATATTTGCCTTACCAGCAAAATAATGAATGTGAATGTTGTTTATTTACTTATTATTTTTATTATTATTATTATTCGCCTTCTTTGGCAACGCTATCTAATTATAGTTAAGCAAATAGAGCAAAGTTAAATGCGATGATGAGCTGAAACTCAGTGCGTGAGTGTAAATGTGTCAAACTAGTCATGGGAACAAATACACATGCGCGTTGTAACATTACACCTCCATGTGAAGATATAGATAATAAATATAAAATCTTTTATTATGCTGAGCACTTTTGTTGCCCCCCCCCCGCTCTCTC